TCATCACCACCATCATCATCATCTCCACCTCCACCACCGAAATCGACACCGGACGCATCATTATCGTTTTCACCCTCATGGGCCATCAGCATCAGCATCAGCATCAGCATCGTGCTTGAAGTGGCTCCCTCAGGTGTTGGAACCACAAAGCTTCAGCTTCGAGGACCTCTTGCACGGCAGTGCAGTGCCCGCTGCCATGGGGTCTTGGACGAAAGTCTTTGAGTCTCTAGGGCGAGGTGATCGTCTCCCTGCCCAGCAGCTGAAGCAGATGATGGACGCGAGCGGCATGAGTGATGAGCTGACATCCGCGTACATCGATCCAGAGTTGAGATCGGAATTGGGAAACCAAAGTGTGAAGAAGGGGATCGCGAATATCACAGGAAACCCGGAGTTGCTGATGAAGGCCGTGCAACAGGATCCCATGGTGCAGCAGCTTGCAGCTGTTAGCCCCGACATGGCCCAGGTGATCAATAGTCCTGATGCGCTCAAGAAGATTTTCAGCCCGAAGATCTTGGATAGCGTGCGCAGTGGCCAGATGCCTGACGAGGCTTCCATGCAAGCCATCCTTGAGCTGGCATCCGGCAAGCAGGTCCAAAAGGTGGCTGCGCCCACAGCTCGTCCCGCCAGCTTGGTGTTGGATGGGGGTCTGAGGCTGAAGCAGGTGCGTGCCGGGGACGGGAAAACGTTCCCAACTCAAGGAGATACTGTTTCGGTCTACTACGCGGGCTACCTGACAGATGGCAAGCTCTTCGATCACGGCAGCTACAGCTTCGTGCTGGGTAGTTCCCAGGTGATCCCTGGCTGGGAGGTGGCCCTAAAGCACATGAGCCTGGGCCAGCGGGCTGTGGTGCAGGTGCCGGCAGAACTCGGCTACGGCGGCTCCGGTGAAGGCCCGGTTCCGCCGAACTCGGATCTGCTATTCGACGTGGACCTGCAAGCCATCAACAAGCTCCAGGCCCCTGTCCTGGCCGTGAAGTGAGAGGCTCCTGTGTGGACCTGTGTTCTGTTGTAGCGATGGCACTGGCGGCCGAGCCCCAAGTGGTGTGTGGAGAATCTTGCATGATAGAACAACCCATATCTCACTCCAGCGCGGCTCTTGCGCAGAAACATCCCGCTCTGTAGCAACATGTAACTGGCGTTGGATCCGATGCATCTGTATGGCAAACTTGCAAGCCTTGCCTGAATTGGAGGTGACGGTCGTGGGACTGGCAAAGGCGTTCTCGCGGTCACAAGGTGCCTTCGTTCAGTCAGCCTTGGACGCAGGCGCAAGGGGGCAGTAGCAGAAACCGCGTGGCCGAGGTGCCTCTCCATTCATCCAGAGCACGGGACGGCTGCCCACGCGGACGCATCAAATGCTGCTCGTCCGTTCTGTTCCCGTCGCGTCGCTGTAGCCGATAACGATGACATGAGGGGGATGATGATGACGACGACGATGATGGTGGCGATAACGATGGTGGTAAGGGTGATGCAGGTGACGGCAGGCTTGCCAGCCAATCTCAGCTCTACAGATCGCGGTGCTGCACATGCGAAACTTCACCTTGCTACTCCAGTCAGGCTTCGCCAACGAGCATCCTTAAAGCGGATGCCACAAGGACTGCGACAGAAACGCCAGGTGTGCCTTTGCCTACTGCTTAAATTGGTGTAGCAGCAGCACATGAAAGGAATGAATGTCCCAAGTCCGCTAGCAGGAGTCGACGACTTGCAACTTTCGAAGCACTTGGTGCTGCTTGCAGCTTCTGCGCGGCATTGCAGTCAACTGACACATTCAGACGACTGCTGCCGGTGACTATTTCCTAGTGCTGTGTTCAGCTTTGCAATGGGCTCTGGGTTTTGCGTACCCGCGCAACTCATCTCTCGGACGGGTCTGACCTGACCTGGGCTTGAGTCTGGACACCTACGGAGCCCATTTCATGCTCCGTGCTCTCCGAAGAGGCATTTGCTGGAGCAGAGGTTCTGGAAAACCAACCCAGCCTGATCACCATGCCGAGAAGCTTACGTGCCGGCAGATGGCGATCCGTGCCTTTGAGCCGCAGCCATGTTGTGCGGACTGAAGTGAAGAGCATCCGAGAGCCCATCTCACCGGGCCTTATGACTCAGACTACCTCGCATCTCGGTGTTGGAAAAGCAACCAGCGACTCCTTTCCCCAGGGCGGGTTCAAGCGACCCTCGCTTTGGCCATGACAAAAAATCGGGATGCTGAGTTCGTGGTTGAACCACACGCCTAAACCCCAATCTCTCCAGCTCACAAAGCCCTAAACGCGTACTTGGTCTCGTGGCGAAGAGGCTCAAGGAGCTGAATCCACTCAAGCTCCTGGTCCTTGTTCCTATCCAGCCCCGAGCAGCCCAGAACATGCACCAACCCTGAGCCCTAAACCCTAAACTCCTCAGCCTTACTCTAAACCCTAAATTACCCTAAACCCTAAATTACCCTAAACCCTAAATTACCCTAAACCCTACATTACCCTAAGCCCTAAATTACCCTAAATTACCCCAAACCGTAAAGCCTGGGAAGCGCCTAAGCCTACGAGACTCCATGAGAGAGGGCCGGGCCTGCCGGGCCTGCCGCGGCCCTGGCCCCCGGGCCAGTCCCTGCCGCTTGCTTTTGGACTTTAGGACTTGGCTACGGCTAAGAGGCTCCCCTCACCTTTTTTTTATAAGACAGCAAAGACACTCTGCGCTGAGAGAACAGTCCAGGGTGATCCTGTAAAATGCTGGTGTAACTGGCAATCTTAGTCGTTGAGATGGCCATGACACCTATTGGAGTTCTGGGGATGATTGTGCTTCTTTTCGGTAGCAACACCAAGACAGGAATGGTAATGCTCTGATGAGCACGGTATTGCTGATGGTGATCATGCAGAGCCAATGCATCACAGCGAGCAGAAGAGCCGGAGAGATAGATAGAACCCTAAACCCTCAACCCTGTCAGCATGTTCATAGCCCACAGTGCTTGCAGACCATTTCGTTATAGTCATGTTACCGTTGCTAGCAAAGAGTCTGAGTCCTGAACGATCACTCCCTAACTCCCTAAAGCCGCTGATTGGGCTTCCGAGGATGACCGAGGCAGAGGCGGTGGTCGTGGGCGTCCGCGTTCGGCCCTTCGCTGAGCGTGCAGCCTGGGCTGCCTTACAGTGGGTCTGGATGAGGGTGCTGGGTTTATCAGGGACCAAAAGAGCCACCCTTACATAAGCTTGTCGGGTGAAAGACAGGATTATGTGGGACATGATTTTGCGGTTTCTGGTTATGTACTTTTTGGGGTCGGTAGTACGGGGTTTTGCGGTCTGGTCTTGCTGTTTTTTAGTGCTTACCCCGGGAAAGATAGTGTTAATGCAATGCGTGTCAAAGGAGATTCAAAACCATGCCACGCTCTGCATCAGCATGGGCCAGAAGTCGACCTGCATCTACGATAGCAGCTTGTCGGCAACAAGCACGTGCCCTTGTAGAACAGTCAGAACAGTCAGCCCGGGCTTGAGTGCTGCCATCGGTACTCCTGCTTCTGAATGTTTGGCCCAGGTTCCGGGAAGGAGCAGATGTTCACCTTCGATGAATCCTTCTGGAGCCACGATGGATATGAGGACGACGGCACGGGATATCTCAGGCTGGGACCTCTTGCTACCCCTTGACGCTGCTGCGACTAGTAAGAGTAGGCTAGCAGTAACCATGTTACAACAAGGAGCATTCCTTGCGAAGTTGAATGCCCCTCCTGTGCACAAGCAGGCCCACACCCGGGAGCCAGTACGCCGTGACTCGGTCTCAATGGGTCTTTGGATCAGAGCATTTACAATGCAATCCTTGCTGTTTTACTTTTTTTTGCAACTAGACATCTGAGCAACTTTAGCTTTTTCGTGACGGAAGGCTCCGTCATGTACCATATACTGCCTGCACAGTACGTGCAGCAGCAGCAACATCCAACAGCAGAAGGTGGAACTAATTGGCCGCCATGCGACATGCGGACATCAACAGAAATAGCAGTTTATGCTTGCCGTCACAACAAGAGAAACATGGTTGACAACAGCACATGTTTTTTCCTCATTGCTTTGGCACCATTTTGGCATTCAATTCGCTCAAACGTCTAGAGTCTCTCGGGCTCTTCCGTGTGGTCTTGCAATCCTCGGCTTTGCATAAATGCTGTCGATTTAGGGGCCGGTCGATCAAATAGCTCGAAGTGCCTCAAATCCAACCAGCGCCGTATGATTTCCTTCTCGCATTGTTTTCCTTGTGCTCTCGCTGTACCCAGCGTGTCACGGGGTTTGGGAGCCTTGGGGTGGTGTGGGACGGTCGTTCTGGTGTGGTCTTCCAGTTTTTGTTCTGCATGTTGGGGTTGGCATAATCTCCTATACGTTTCTGCACATCTGAATACACAGCACCCATGTGCATGCGGGGCCGAGCTGTGAATTGTAGCAGAGGCAGGTGTTGACAGTGCGTGTGGACAGCTGTGGTAGATTCTGTCGTTTTCTGCCCGTCTAAGGACCAGAAGTACGTTTTCGACACTTTTGGCAGGAGGGTACTGGATAATGCCTGGAATGGTTACCACTGCTGTCTTTTCGCATACGGACAGACAGGCAGGTGACCGCGAGAGCTGACATGTCTTTGCAGCCGATGCCGCCGTCCTTGTCAAGCCCTGTGAAGGTTCTGGCAAGAGCTACTCCATGGTTGGATACGGCAACAACAAAGGTATTGTGCCGATATCCTGCGAGGAGATTTTCCGCAGAATCGCAAAGGACGATGACAATGGAAATTCCTACGAGGTCCGAAAAGTGAGAGATGTCGACGTGTGAGGTTCCTCCACGCGTTGCAGCTCGGAGGTCATGGTTTCCGCCATCGAGATTTACAATGAAGCAGTGCAGGACCGATGGATACCCGTGCAGAGGAGGTCATGAAAAGCAAGGCACACCTGCACGCGCAGCAAATCTGCACTGCAGGACCTGCTTATACCAGTTGAGCAGCGGCCACGAAAGGGCTTCGAGATTCGCGAGTCCAAAATCTTAGGCTCGATGGGAGCATGTCATGTTGACCGTTTGCATCGGAAGAGAGCGGCGTGCTACATCTATGTATTGCGCTATACAATCAGCTCCTTCTGCTTGTTTCTGTCCGCTTGACGGGCGTCAGGAATCTACATCGACGGGATCACAAAGAGGCTCGCACCATGAACAGAGGCGTATATGTGCTCTTATCGGACTATCTGTACATATTCCACGACGGCTTGGAGCTTCTGCCAATGCTGCCACGAGTTGACAGTGATGCCAGCATGCTCCGTGAAGAAAGCAAAACCCAAGTACACAGTGTGCAACAACGACGGCTTCTGTCTAACAGTACTGCATCAGTGGATTGTCATGTAGAAAATGTCTTGTAATGTCTTGTATGACCCCAATGACCAATAGCCTCAACACATACTGTCTTTCATTGCGAGGTCGCATGTGAACTGCTCGTTTGCGGTCTCCCGACTTGCCTGCTTCTAGCTGCGCGTCGCTGCTTTGGGAGGCCAGTCGAGTCGTACCAGGCCATCCATGATACCATCGAGGAGCTGAGCACTATGCCCGAGACCCTAAACCGTGGCAAGGGACCACGCTCACAGCAGGTTTCCTGCGCCAAGCTGATTGTGATGGCCACAAAGGGCCACTACCCCTGTTGTGACTCCTAGTATACCTTGCTATATTGCGACTGCTGATTTTGTTACTCCAACTCTCCAAAACCTTCCTATGCTTGGTCTTTCAGTTGGAGTGTTTGGTACCCAGCACAGGAGGCCACGACTCATCGAACAGTCGGATCCACTCTGATGCTACTCGGATCAGCTTCAAGAAGAATCGCCAGTTGTCATCCATCGGATGTTGGCTGATTCTTCTATGCTGACATCGTGCGATGTGATGTCAGGGCTGTGCATGACCCTGGGTGCATCAAGGAACGCCACCTCCAGTCGTGCGCACACGGTGCTGATGGTGGAGTTCAAGGCTGTGAGTGCAGGAGACGGGCTTAAGACCCCGAACGAAATCATCATCGTTTCAGCTCATTCACCTCCAGGATCTACGCGCGTCTCCATGATCAACCTTGTCGACTTGGCAGGCAGTGAGAAGGCTCTGATCAGCAAAACTGACATCGACTAGTCTTGGTAGGGCTTTGAACTTGAAAGAACTCTAAGTGGCGGCAGAGCAAGCCAGCTGAGCACGAAACACCTCACAATGGACAGTATTATGCCTCCGGCAGGTGAAGCACACTGGTGCAGAAGGAGACCGAATGAAGGAAGGAGCTTCACGGCTGCAACTTCGGGAAGCGCTGAGAGTTCCGCTTTAGAAGTCTCTTCACTCCAATCTCAGCTTGACTGAGGCAATGATAAATAAATCCTTGCACCTTTCCTGCATGTAAAAGGCACGGTAGTGGGTGCTTGCGCCCGTTGGCCCCTGTCCGGCTCAGGAGTGCTCTGGGTAATGTCATTGAGAAGCTGGCCGAGAAGTCCACGAACCCGAAGAAGGTGCCCAGGCCTAGTGGTTTAGGGCCTTTGGGCGTAGGGTTTAGGGTTTCCGTATTTGCGGACAGCGAGGGTCCTTCCGTGGGTTACTGGCCTCGAGCCAAGGCGGCTGTGATCGTTGTCCCCTACCGCGAGTCCAAACTTACCCGGCTGCTACAGAATGCACTAGGCCTGATGGGAGGTCGCAGACTCCCTTAGTGCTGCTGGGACCTCTCTGCAGTCCAGGTGGCTCGAGCAAGACCATCATGATTTGTGCGCTGTCACCTGCATCCTCCAACTATGACGAGACACTGTCAACCCTGCGCTACGCAGATCGTGCCAAGAAGCTGCCTGGCAGTGTTCAGTAAAGATCCACGGTTTGGTCCTGGCCGTTGCACATGCTCCGGGGGTTGGCTGTTTGGCTGGGGACCAGGATCAAGAACAAAGCAGTCATCAACGAGAACCCGCAGGCCTTTGCGTCGGCAGACGCGGGATCTGTGAAACACTAGGAAACACGATGCAGCAGCATCTGGGTCTCGCGAAGTTGTCATACGGCAGGAGAAGCTGATGCGAGAGCTGATGGTCGCTTGGTCAACATAGTCGTTACAATCGTAGGCTCCCGTTCACATCGTTTCGTGTCTTTCGCAAACTGCGTCCTGAGGAGGAGAACCAGAAGCTGAGGGAGATGATGGCAGCGCTCAGCGCGGGCCAAGGCTTTGATGCCCAGACCTTCGAGAATTTGGGAAAGAAGCGGCCGCCTCGGCACTCCAAACTCGCGGAGACCTTAAGTCCCTGAAGCCCTGAAGACCTGAAGACCTGAAGCCCTTAAGCCAAATCTCTGCTTTCTCGGATTGCAGCATATGCTTCTTGGTGCTCTCTCCAGCTATCTAGTCTGCAGTTTGCAGCCTCTGCTTCTTGCTCTCCGTCCCTATCCCGCTTGTGCTCTCTGGCCCTACCCCGTTTGCAGCCTGTGCTTCTTGGTGCTCTCTACCGCTCCCCTACTTGCAGCGTGTGCTTCTGGTCTCGAACTGAGGCAGCGGGAAATCGCTGAGGCCGAGGCAGCTTTGAAGGTGCCGCGGGGGCGGGACTTCGGTTGGGCGAGACTTCACAAGAGCTCATCTCCATGATCCCTCCAGGAGATGCAGAAGAGCTGGGCCGAGCGGCTACAAGAGGCTCCCTCGAAAATACCCTAGATCTGACCTGAACTCCGCATGTCCAATGTCAGGACAAGGTGCGCCAAGAGGAGAAGCACTCCCATCGGCGAGCCTCGGCTGCCGTTGAGCCCGTGGTTGTTCTTGCAGAACCCCTTCTGGCTTGCAGGGACGACGATCCCACCAACGGTGCCCATGATGGTGAATCTGAATCCCGATGCCCAACTGCAGGGTCGAGTGACTTGGGCTGCAGAGGTTGCCAGGAAAATGTGATCTTTGCAGATCTGGGCACTGCAGGTGAGGTACTATTTTCCGGAGGGCAAGAAGACAATCATCGGTGGTCCTGAGCAGGGCGATTCGGATTCCGTGCCTCAGCACAAAATTGGAGGTGCAATATCGTGTGAGACGATGACGTGCGACACTATTGCAACTTGAGCGAAGGAGAGTGAAAACGACGGGACTTCCGACAGCAGTGAGGCAGGGTCTTTGCAAAGTTGCACTCACGGGAGCCGTTTTATTCGACATCCACACCATGCCCGGTACGCAGTTTTGCCATATGCGCATGCAGGACACGGAAAGCTCTGAGAAAGAGCCTGTGCCCGCTCCAGATGTATCCTTGCTGGGTGCTGGCATCCGGAGGCATGCCTCCAGAGAAAAGAAGCCTCATGTACCCGTCCAGCCTGGAGGCTTCATGCCAGCGTTGTGAACGAGGACAGCCGCTGTGTCCTGACAGCGCTCAGCATGGATGCCGCGAAGGCTTCGTGCATGTTTGCTGCCTCTGCTTTGGCCAGAACGACTTCCGCACCAAGCCTCACATGTGGGGCGAGTGTGTCACACTTGCGCGAGGCCACGTGCTTGAACGGCTTCCCGCTAGACCAGCTCTTGCAGGCCAGAGGGCAGGGATATGCAGGGATATGACGTGACTGTCTGTAAGCTTCTTCAGAATTCGAGAACTGGCGACCTTCCGGCCAGGACCCCAAGCCCGTGAACCGCGATCTGCTGGGAAATGATCTGGATGGCCTCGAGCTGAAGCACCGTGATCACCTGAAGTTCGGCCTGCCACCGAGCCCAGGAGACAAAGCTTCCTCACAGTGCTGTGGGACAAGTCAGAGACGGAATCTCTTTCGGGTCATGGTCGGGGTGTTGCCGAGGCCCTTGCTTTTTTGTCTTCGTGAAGCCCACAGAGGGTAGCGCGGAGGCGCAAGCTGTGACGCCGTACGCCTTCTTTTTCCTAATGCCTTAAGCCCAATCCTAGGATCCTAGGCAGGGGCCCGACCCCAGCAAGTGTGAACACCTGAGCCCTAAAGACTCGGAGGCCCTGATCGCCAGTGGGGAAGCCGACTTCTTCGAGGCCCAGCTCCCTGGCTAAAGGCGCAGTTCCAAACGGGCTGGGCTTTTTAAATTCAGCCTGCCAGATCTTCTCCGAGAACCTGCCACCAGAAAAAAGACGCAGAGTCGAGCAACAGACGGGAGAGCCCAGGGACGGCAATTGAAGTGAAGGGCTTTTTTCTACCGGCAGAGGGGTCAACAAGGGCGAGGACAAAAGGCCACGGATGAGAGCAGCCAGGGTTGGGGGCGAGAAGATGGGGAGCAGGCCCGGCGGGCGTAGAAAAGACCTTGTGCGGGGAGGAAATCTTCTTTGAGGGCGAGGAGCCGCGGCATGGGAAACGGGGCTCAATGCGGGAAAGGGGGGCCTCGCAGATACCCAGTAGCGGAGAGATGAAAGAGTCGAGCCTTTCAAGGGGAGGACCCGGCGCACCCCCCATGCAGCAGGACTGCAACGCACAGTGCATGGGTCCTGCTAGTTTCGAAAAAAAAAGCTTTCGCTTTGCGGGAATCCACCCTAAGGGGGGAAAGGGAGGCTCGGCAGACGACACGGAGACCGAGCGCCTGAGAGGAATGGCCGTCCGGAGGAGATTCGGCGCGGGCCCTGCAAGCAGACCGACAACAAACATGAACAACTTTTCGTTTGCGGGATTTTGCCGGGCAGGCAGTTTCTCATTCCACTCTCAACATGGCCCACGACCGACGGGCAGAAGAAAACGAATCCCTCCCTGCGAACATGGACGTGTTCCTGCACGAGGACCCTCAACGGCGGAAAAGGGGCCTCGATTCACGGCAAAGAGACATGGCAGCGGGTGGAAAAAGACCCGCGCCAGGGACAAACAGAAGGGAGGAGAACCCCTCACCTGCATGTAGGAACGGGTGCAAACGAGACCCAAAACGCGAAGACAAGTCTAAGTGGAGCCGCACATGAGATCCAAAACAGGCGGACAAGAACACAAAGTCCGTTCTAAGCAGAAATACATGGTTTATAAGTTATATCATACAGTTGGTTTCATATAAGTCCTGGCACAGGGGCGTCAACAAACGGCTAGAATTTGCATTAAATACACTGTAGCATTATTGGGGATTACTCGTAAAAGGGGATGATCGACCTATCTATCTACTTGTATCTATCTGTCTGTCTGTCTGTCTGTCTGTCTGTCTGTCTGTCTGTCTGTCTGTCTGTCTGTCTGTCTGTCTGTCTGTCTGTCTATCATCAATCAATGTATCTACTTATCTATCAGTCTATCTACCACCCGATCTGTCTGTCTATCTATCTACCTATCTATCTATCTATCTATCCATCCATCCATCTATCTCTCTATCTAGCTCTCTACTAATCTTATCTACTCCACTCTAGTCTAGTCTCTCTATTCATCTACTTACCTGTATGTTCACATACGTACACACCGACATACCTACATAGAAAAAATATATGTATGTATAAAAGTATATATATATATACACATACACACACACATACACACATACAAAACATAACATAACAAACCTGATGCAACGTAAGCTAATGTAACCTAAGGCAACGTAGCACAACATAACAGAGCAGAACAGAACATAACCTAAAACGACATGACATAGCAGTTGCGCAAGGTAGATTGGTGGATGGATAGAGGATAGGGCACGGGATGCTAATTCCAGTACTTTTTTTTTTTGAGTTGCTGAAGCTCTGCCTTTGAGCTCAGGATGGAGGAGACCAGAGCGAAGAGGTCCAAGCTCCAGGGCAAGTCCTTGATGCAGTTTTCTTGTTGCCAAGACGTTTCAAGGAGGCTTAGGGTTTTGGCTTCGGGCCTGTGGTTTAGGTTGCGGGGTTCGGGGCTTTGAGCATGCCCGAACACAGGCCTCGAATTTCATGACTCCTGAACCCGGAAGCCTAAAGCATCCAAACCGTCGAGCTTCCGACTGGAGCGCCTTTGTGAGGTCCATGACTGAGAAGCGTCTGCGACAAAGTTTGTTCTCGCCGAACCAAGTTCTTCCAGGCCGAGTAGTGAGGTCTTGTTCTGCTTAATTTTGAGGTCTTATTTCAAGCAAGATGACTGGGGTGTGCTATGGTATAGTATAGTTGTGAATGCATACTGCAGCCAAGTATGTTGCAGTCCCCAGAAGTTGCTCGGAAGATCAAGAGTTCACTTCAGCAGTTGGGCCCCCAAAACTGAAGAACAGACCCCTGGTCTTTGCTTCTGTTCAGGACTCGACGAGATGAGGGACATTGCAGAGGTCCCGATGTGCCTATTCTTGTGCACGTGAAGTATGCCGCAGCCGTAGCGCCCGGGTAGCTGTGAGATGTTCTCTGACGGGATGCACGAGTTGCAGGAACTGGAGCAGAAAAAGAGAGAGCTTCAGATGAAGGACCACGGCACCCGACGGTGCGAAGCTGCAGCAGTACTCTTCGTAGATGTTTTGCAAGAGCCCTGCTGAATGATACCCTTGATCACAGTGCTAGCTTTGAGTCTCCCACGCCAGTTTCACCAGATGTGTGTCTCAAATTGAACAGCCTTGTACTGATGCCAGCATTGGTATTAGTACAGTTCCAAAGTTCCACGAAAGAGCCCGACCTGTCACATCCCCCGGAGGATTCGCTGCTGCGCGCCAAGGACGAGGAGGTGGAGCAGCTCCGCTCGGAGCTGGACGCTTTGCGTGAAGGCCTCATGGGCGGTGAGTGGGAGTTTCCGAAAATAGGGGTGCCTTATTTTGGGGGTCCTTATAATAAGGGTCCTACTATTTATGTTACTATATTAGAGTCCCCTATTTTCGGAAACTCCCAAGTCAGATATCTCGAGGAAACAGCCGTGCATGTCAGTTATCCATGTTGGATGCTGGCACTTGGCACCGGCCACTCCGCACAGCAACTTCTTTTGAAGATCAATCCCTGTGCCTGCATGTGCTCCTCCACAAATGCCACGCAATCCAAAAATGTTTCAATGGTCTAGTCTCGGACAGTGATTTCTATTGTACCAGGACTACGTCCAGGCGGCTTGGCGGAGTTGGTCGAAGGCTGAAGGGGTACCATCGCCTAGTGCCATGCAGTCGCTGAGGTTACGACAGCGGCATGGCGAGCCGGCACCGCAAAGTCTCAGTTGCCATTGACAGCACTTTCGAGGCCCAGATCCACCAACCATGCACCCTGAGACATCATAAGACCCCGATGCCAACAATGCAGGATGCGCTGGCTCAGCTGAGCGCTGTGGAGGCGATGCATCCCGGCGAGGAATGGCTTTCAGCTTGTTGATGCGACACTTCTGAAAGCCTCGTTGGGTCAAGGTTAACGGCCTGCGCCCCGGGCGCACTGCAGCGTGCTTCCCCGAAGTGTCTCGGCTTTGTTCAGAGTTACAGCGCAATCTTTCCACAGCCAAGTCCAAAGCCCACTCGCGGGCTGGTTGAACGGTTCTTCGAGCCTTCAACACATTGAGATTCGACCGCTATTGAACGCACATGCCCATTCTGTGCCGTGGCTTGCAGAGCTCCGGCATGCCAAGGAGCACTGAGTCTTCGTCGTGATGCTGCTGCTAATGATAATGATGATAATGCTTTGATGCCACCAAAGTTATTAGTGGCGAGAAATTGCCTCTTTGCAGCTGAGCAAGAGGTCGGGTGGCCGAAGTAATTCGACAGCCCACAGTTTTCGTGGACCATCTCCTGAGCGGCGTGGGCCAGAAAAGGTCAGTTTGCTTCTCTGAAAAGCCCAATGCATAGCTCAAGATCAGAGCTTCATGACCCGGGCAGAGTTCACGTGCAGCCTGCATGTGGCGATGGGGGATGGGGGGGATGTGAACTGCGTGGTCTGCTTGGCCCAGGCTCGCGAGGACCGAGGAGGTGCGCTGCTCCACGGTCTGGCGCCCAGCACCGTGACTTCGTGAGGGACTCTGGGAGTTGTCAACGCGGACCCCTCTGAGCACGCGCGTGTCGGCCTCGATGCCTTCCGGCTCTCAGGACATGCTCCTCGTCAACCCGAACCGGGGCTTCGGTTGGCACCAGGTCAGCCCTGCGCAGCATGGCGCAGACATGCGCAGACCACCGAAGGGCGCTTGCAGCCAAAGTCCAAACGCATGGAGCTTTCGCCTCCAAAAGGCCCCCCAATTTAATCCGAACCCTACACTCTCAAGCCCTAGGCCAAAAGCATCCTCGAGCCCTAAACTCCACAGTGAAGGACAACCAGAACGGGCCCATCGAGTTCGATGATGCGGTGAGATGGTCGGCTCCTTAGGCTTCCCCACCAGAAGCTTGTTTTGGATTTGGCTGGTAGTTTGACCCGCGTATAGTTTCTTGTTGCGACCACTACGATGACGACGACTATTCTGCCACAGCTGTTGCGACTGCTCTGCGAGAGCACTACCAGCGCCGGGACCGAGCCGGTGGTGCCAGCCCCAGCACAAGCACCTGCGCCGACCACCTCCACCGCCAGCCACCAGCACCGACTGCACCGCCACCACCAATAGCACTAACAGCGGCACAGTGTCTGGTCCAGTGTGTGGTCCTACCATCCAGGCTGTCTTTTGACCATGAGCCTTATTTTTCAGTTAGTACGGTTTGTTTTATTCTAAAGGTCGTCCAGAGAGCAGATGTCGGCTGAGGTGGGTGGCCATGGATGCTTGTGGTCAGGCACGCTCTTGCTCACGAAAGATGGCTGCCAGCCCTGTCGCAGTTTGCAAGCTTTGTAGCGTGCTGCCGGTGGCCGTCAGGATGGCATTGGTGCTCCTGAGTACTTGCTGGGATCTCACCGCAACAAGTCTGCCCCTTGAGTTTCTGACCGCCTTAGGCGAAAACGAGGGGGGCCTTTCATCCACATGCGACGAGCGACGGTCGCATGCCTATTTTGAGGTCTGTCAGCAGCGATGCCGCCCGCCTGCCCTGTTTTGCAGCCCACTCTACAGGATGCTGCAGTCAAGTCGCTTCATGCTCTGCTTATGATTCGTTGCAGGTCTTCGTCAAGCTTGAGGACCCTGCAGCTCGTTGATAGTGCCAATGATACTGTTAATATTTCTCATCCGCCGAGTTGTGCTTTGCAAACTCGAGCCACTTTGGGTACGCACTTTCTGGGAGGACGGAGACCTCTCAACCTATCCTCGAAGCACCAGGTGTGCTGGGCGTCGTTTTGTGCGTGCACCAGGGCTCAAAGAGCTCCCAGAACGCCAGGTACACTCCCGAGCCAGGAGATCTGATCATCTGGAATGCCCGCACCAGCGCGGAGCCCAGGGATGACAGAATCCTATGGGGTTCTCCGTGCAGCACGAAGCCACACACAAAAAGCGCGCTCTGTGCAGTTCACCGCATCGTGGCGCCTCCGGGGCAGAAGTGGGTGGACCGACACTTGCGCCTCCCGCCTCCCTCGAGCGGCTGCGGTTTCCCTCTCTTAGAGCGCGGGGATTCGGATTCCGTTCTCTCTCTCTCTCGCTCGCTCGCTCTCTGTCGCTCGCTCGCTTGCTCGCTCTCGCTCTGCGAGGACGGCACTCAGCGGCGTGCCATCGGAGGCACCATGGCCAAGGCCATCAAACGCACACAGCATCCGCAGCAGCAGCAGCTTGCAGCTCCTATTTAAAGACGTCGCTCCGGAGGCTGGTGCCAAGTACATCAACAAGGGCGGTGCCAGCGGCATCAGTGACCTTGCAGGCAGCGTGTCGCAGAGTTCGTGCTTTCTGCCTCAGCTTTCTTACCGTCCAGGGCATACCCAGAAGAACGGCGAGGAGCTCGGAGGCCTGAGCCTCAACTCCTCAACCGCCGCACTTGGTCCATGATTCGAAGACTGTGTGCAGCTGCCGCTCATCATGTCCAAAATGCTTAGCAAATCAGGTGCCGGTCATGCACGGATGCACCCAGGCCCCTATTTCCCACGCATTTTTCCCGAGCGCGTTCCAGAGGAGGAGGCTGGACAGTCGGGCAGCATGAGCTCAGCCATGGGCACCATCTCTGTGACATCCACGGCGCATGTTTATGCTTGCATGGTCTGAAATGTTCCGAGTGTCAGCATCTCAACTCTGATCCAGCGTTGGCTGCCAGAGGCCTTGCGGCTCCAAGCCTAGCGTTTACATCTACGATCTATTTCTTGAAACCAGGTCTGACCCTGTTCTGAGAACAGGTTCCGTAGCGTGAGCATGTTCAATGCAGGCGACTCTGCTGCCAAAACAGTCAGGTCCCGCGTCGATACATTTCAGTTGCTGCAACGCCTTGCGGAAGTACTTCTCCTCGTGTGGACATGGTTGAAAACCTGGTTGGACATGGGCAGAAACAGCTACATGATCTATCATCAGTGGCCGCAGCCCGACATCAGGTATGCAGCGCCGCAAGTCGTGCTTGTGCTTGGACTCGTAGCGACCAATTCCCTTGGCTTTCTTCATTTTCGGGACCAAGGTCTTCTTGCTGATGCACATGTTGCCGCTGCTGGTTGTTGCTTAGGATGTTTTCTTGTGTAGCCTCGACCCCGAACAATAAAGAGCCACGAAATTTGCTCTGGTTTTATGTCACGATTCAAGCAATCACTTCCTCAGGCTTTGGACTTGGACACGCCGTGCTTTGCATGCAGGCACGGAGCACAACTTGTTCGTGGCGAAGCAAACGAAGAGTGGGAGAAGCTTCGGCTTCGCAACTCTATGTGGCGCAGCCTGCCCCTGGCCATGATGAGTTTTGCCTTAACATTTCGGGAGTTGTTGGAGGTGCCACTGTGCCAAGCAAAGGCCTCCGGATCTGCAATGGTTGTTGGATTTTGGCCTGAACTTGTCAATGAGTCCTTTTAGGGCACAGGACATGAAACGGGCTGGAATTCCTCTCAGTCGAATGGGTACGATACTATGACAAAATGGGCGAGGATGTGTCGAAAGTCTCGGAAGAACGCCTAAGGGAAGGTGCCGAAAAGCTTGGCAGGGAGATTCTGAAAATCGAGCATGAACTATGGAGCGGTTCGCACTGCCGTGATTCCGAATGGCAGCAAGGCATGCTTCCACTAAAGCAAGCTCGATTGGAGGACCAGATTGGTGCTTGTGGGGATGAAGCGGATGCCAGGCCAGAAGCCACGGGCCTAAGCAATTTGCTGGCTGCGAATGTTGTGACCTGGGAGCGTGCCAGAATGGAGGCCTTGCGCCGGGAATACACTTTGAAGGGTGCAGTCGCGGGCCTCGTCTCGCGCATGCGTAAGGGAGGCTTCTTGCCAGGCGCAACGATGTATGCGATGGACTGGGAGTGGGAACTGGACCAGGCTATTGGGCTCTTAAAAGAGCACCTTCGAAAGGATGAAATTCAGACGGTTCACTCAGGCAGACCATGGTCCATCGAGATCGCTGGTAAGTTGCAAGCTACAGTCCAAGACGGCTGGAAAGTTCGATTAGGCCAATCTTTCGTGTTCTTCCTGACTGCCGTGCTGCCTGTTCGCAAACGCATCTTGGCATCATTTTGTTCCTCTCCTTCGACCAAGCAGAACTTGCTGGTGACGATGTTCACCAGCTTGGACCTAACATGCCTGGTGACGACCTGGGTGCTTTGTGCAGTCGCTCCTGCTGCCTACCATCTCGGGGATTTGTTTGAGACCACCATTTCAGAGCTGGGTCCGCTCGCAGAGGGCGTCATCAACAGGATTGATCTCAAGTCCAAGAATAAGCATGTAGCTTATGACATATATGGGGCGTTGCTGACGCTTGGCCCAAAAGTTGCAGAGATGGCCTGGAACTTGGTGCCCGCGCTTGCCTGGAGTTGGCACTTCTTCCTTGAGCTCGTCATCGGCTCCTTATGTTTCTTGGTAGCCCAGAGGTACCCTATTCCTTTTTTTGGTTCTAGGTTCCCTTACAAAGTAATCAACCCCAAGAAGGGTGCCCGCTCTTATCATAATAAGGTTACTGGGCCACCAAGGTTTCTTCGCAGTCTCCACCGCGTTCGCACGCTGGCTGTCACCCCAGACCGGATTTGCCACCCATGTGTCGGTGGGCGTGTGTGGGCCTCTCTGGCTCTTCACCGAAGAATCAGAACACAAGGGCATCATGGGACTCAACGCATACTTTGCCATTGTCCTGAGAAGTTTGAGCTTGGCGGCGTTTGTAGTATGGAGCTGGACCTCAGTGAACGACTACAGTGTGCAGCTGTTTTTTGCAATCACCTGTAAATCGTACCTGTCGAAAGATGGGCTGATCTGGAGTTGGATAGGATTGCTTGTAGTGCATTTTCTCTGTGGGTTTGCAACTGTCAGCGCTCTTGGGAGTGCGGATGACAGCACCTCGGAGGATGGGTCAGATGAGGAGCAAGGACTCGAGGCAAGTGCTACAGCTTCCTACAGGACCTTTGCTATCACATCGAAGAAGGCTCAGGCTCACAAGTAAGCCATAGCCGAGCTCAGTTTCCTCGTCGGAGTTTCTCAGACAGCGCGGGCAAACCGAGGGTTCAATGCCAGCATGAAATTTTCAAGTTCTCGCTCGCAACTGTTTGAGTGCCCACTGCCGAATTGGCTCAAGCCCGTGCTCTTCCCTTCTCCCTTGCAACAGGGCCAGAGGCTGAGAGGCTGAGGTCTATAGGCTGCCATCGAGACTTCCGTCCGTGTGAGGCTGCTCTCATTCGTCATGCATGGATACCCAGACAGGCCTGGTCATATAAGGCGATGATATTATTGCATGTACTCTCCCTCACTAGCATTGTGATTAACGTGTTTCAGGGCCGAAGTTGGAGATTGGTGGTGCAGTAACAGTACCTGTGGCCGGTTCGCTGGTCCCGCTGTCAGTGCAGTCTTCAACACTTCTCGAGAAGTCGGAGTTCGTTGAGGACTAGCGCATGCTCTTGTGGTAATCCCGCACATGTCGTGAATATATCTTTACGTGTACCGAGCTCTTGACATTGCCAGTATAATGTGATTTTTTAGTCTTGAATGTAGGCTCCGAATGGATCTCTCGCACGTATCGCCGTCGAGACATCCCAGCATCATTTCGTGCGGCCTCCTTCGAACCCAACCGTAAAGCGTTGTCGCTAAGTCCCTGCAAAGCATATGGCAGCTTTCTGCATCCATCTTGAAGGCAAGCTGCGGCTCGGCGCACGGCGATCCTGGCGGAGTCCACCGTACGTTCTGCCAACCAGGTGGATTTGCGGCATAAATTAGACACAGGGCAGATAGACAGTAGATCCGAAGAGGTCGAAAGACCCGTGCGAGAAAGCTTGCCTATGTACATGCAAGTCTGTTTGGACATGCCTGCAAATCTTATGATAAACCCCTTCACTGATTCATTAACTTTGTAAGAATGTCACCAATATTCACAAGGTGTACATATCAGCGGGGACAGACGGGCAATGACGGGGCCTAGCAAGCTTGCAGCGGCCTGAATACCGTAGGCGGGATTTAAGCATGTGTGAAACGGAAGCATGGCGAGGTTTCTAGTCAGGATCCGAGAAAGGCATTGTGACAAGTGGGGTTCCTTCGGAGGAAACCTTTTGGGGAAAGTGTTGCGGGTACTTGCGGCGGCCAGGTCAGAATGCTTTAGTTGGTAATTTGGCGTATGAGGCATAGCAAGGCTTCTAGGCAGGATTCGAGACAGAATAGCGACAAGGTGCATTCCTGCCGGAATCTTCAACATAAGGGTCGACGGCTTGAAGCAGCTCGAATCTTCCAGCTGATCGATGGTAACTGTAAACTGAAGATTTCGTAACATACGGTTTGGGGATTTTCATCTTCAGTCTTCGGCGGAGTGGATTGAATTTGAATTGGGTTCGCGCTCTGACTCGAGTATTGGACTCGCCCCAGCAGCTACTTCTGGGACAAGGTCCTAAGCATACATACATATACATATAGTCAGTTTACTAGATAGACCTGTGCATAAGCTAGACGTATGTATATGTATTCTGTATATGTATATGTACGAACATCGAATATGCAAAGACATGTAAACATGCCTATATATATATATATTCACACACGCACACACACACACACTTGTATACAAATAAACACACAGATAGCTAGCTTGCTAGCTAGGTATATGTATATATATATATAT